AAGACCACAGAGAGTTGGTACCCATGGCTAACTTCTTTTCTCAGTCCAAAATAAAAAACTGTCTGAATCTAAGAGTGGCCCCTATCTTCACCAACTGATCAGTAAGGGCTAGGCCTTGTACCCCTCTTGTCCTGCATGCACACTTGACATCAGATGCAATAACTACTTATTAAGTCACTTTAGCATATTCTCAAGTATGCACACAACACTTCAGAGGTAATAGCAAATTATTTATTCTTAATGTTTCATTATAACCAAAATATTGTAAGGACTGTTATCTCAAGCAATACAATAGCACAAGCAGCAGTGTCATAAAAAGTTAACAGTCTAAAACTGATATCATCCCCTGAAATAGTGTTGTAACATAGAAGCAAATAATCTAATTAGGAGGGATATAATCTGGTCTCCTGCCCCTTCTCTGTGTCCCAGGCCACACCAAGCTGAGTGGAGCCAAAGCAGGGGCGCACAGCAGGGGAGGCAGTGGCATGGAGCCCCATGTGTCTTGGAGCTAATTCATGTTAGAAAGTATAGAGTCATCTGTTTTAAAATAAATGCATGGAGAACTTCTGGTCAAGATGGAGGTGTAGGTAAACACAGCTTGCCTCCTTGTACAACCACAGAAAAATTACACTATCTACAAAAATCTAGCACCCAATTGTCAGAAAATCAAGCTGTATGGAAGTCTGACAACTAAGGGATTAAAGAAGTCACACTCATACAGATGGGCACTCGGAGACACAAAATGGGCAGCCTCACACCAATGTGTGGTGGATAAAAATTGGGAGTGAGGGATCCCAGCCCCACACCAGACCACCAAAACCAGGGTTCCAGGGCTAAGAAGGTAAGCCCCCATAACTTCTGGATTTAAAAACCAGTGTGGGTTGGGGAAGCAGAAGAAACTGCAGGATTCTCAGGGGTTTCCTCTTAAAGGTGCTACAACAAACTCATGCAGACTCACTCCTTCTGGGCTACTGAACTAGAGAAGCAGCTGGAAGGGCAGCAGCGGCGAAAGCAGAGAAATTGAAGTGTCTGGCATCAGGGAAACTGCTGAAGTACAACTTCCTCTGAGACAAAACTCTAAGAGGCCAGGCAGCAGCCATTGTCCCTTTTCTGAGCCCTTCCCCACACAGAGCCACAGATCCTGACACCATATCTGAGGTTCCATCAACCTGGTTCACAGAGGCCCTGCCCTGGTGATGACCTGAGGTTCTGCTGCATCCAACTTATCTGTGAGCTTTTCTATGTCAGGCCAGGCTTCTAAGGCAGAGAGCCAAAGCAGCGCAACCTAATATATAGAAACAAACACAGGGAAGCTGCCAAAACGAGAAGACAAAGAAATATGGCCCAAATGAAAGAACAGAACAAAACTCTAGAAAAAGAACTAAACAAAATGAACAGAAGCAATCTGTCAGATGCAGAGTTCAAACACTGGTTAATTAGGAGACTCAAGGAATTCACTGGGTACTTCAACAGCATAAAAAAGACTCAGGCAGAAATGAAGGTTACACTAAGTGAAATAAAGGAAAATTTATAAAGAACCAATAGTGGAGTGGATGAAGATGAGAATCAAATCAGTAATTTGGAACATAAGGAAGAAAAAAACATTCAATCAGAACAGCGAGAAGAAAAAAGAATCCAAAAAACAAGGACGGGCTAAGGAGCCTCTGGGACAACTTTAAATGTACCAACATTTGAATATAGGGGTGCTGGAAGGAGAAGATAAAGAGTAAGAAGTTGAAAACTTATTTGGAAAAAATAATGAAAGAAAAGTTCCCTAATTTGGTGAAGGAAATAGAAATATAAGTCCAGAAAGCACAGTGAGTCCAAACAAGTTGGACCCAAAGAGGACCACACAAACACACATCATAATTAAAATGCCAAAAGAGAAAATCTTAAATGCAGAAAGAGAAAGCAGATAGTTACCTACCAAGGAGTTCAATAAGACTTTCAGATGATTACTCCAAAGAAACTTTGCAGGCTAGAAGGAACTGGCAGAGTATTCAAAGTGACAAAGAGCAAGGACCTACAACCCAGATTACTCTATCCAGCAAAGTTACCATTTAGAATGGAAGGGCAGATAAAGTGCTTCCGAGACAAGATAAAGCTAAAAGAATTCATCACCACCGAGTCCTTATTATATGAAATGGTAAAAGGGAAAAAAATCAAAACTATGAACATTAAAATGGCAACAAAATCACAACTATCAACAAGTGAATCTAAAAATCAAATGAAGCAAACAAGCAGAACAGGATTAGAATCATGGACGTTCAGATCATTTGGAGGGTTATTAGCTGGGAGGGGGAAGGGACAGAATGGAGGAAAAGGTGCAGGGACTAAGAAGTACAAATTGGTAGATAAAGAATGGACAAGAGGATGTTAAGAATAGTATAGGAAATGGAGTAGCCAAAGAACTTATATGCATGACCCATGGGCATGAACTAAGGGGTGGGGAATGGGAGTACCAGGTGGAGGAGGGCAAAGTGGGAAAAATTGGGACAACTATAATAGCATAATCGATAAAATATATTTTTTTAAAAAATGGAATATAATCTGACGGGGGCAATAAAGCAGCTTTAGCTCAAACATGTAAGCTTTACTTTAGCTTCAATAAATGTTAATATTTTTCTTAGTAAGTCCTTTCTGAGAATATGAGGCTAAAATATGTCTAAAGTCAGAAAATCCACCCATCATTCTAATTTTCATTACGTTTACCATGTAATTTTAAGTTATAGCATTCCATACTTTCCCAAGCATTTAAATCATAAAGATATTTGTCAGCCATAATAAAATGTAAGAATAGAAGTAGAAGAATTTAGAGGCAGGGAACAGTGGAAATTGTACGTAAGACCTAAAAAAATTTCAGTTTGTAAACTAGGCATATTTTCCTGGGAGCACGCCAGCACCTTTCCCTTCCTCCTCCTCCTCCCCACCGGCAGGAAGCTCTTAAATTTTAAGTGACTCCAGGAGACTTGCAACCAGGGGAGCAATAGGCAGCAGCAGCTTGTCCCAAGCTAACCCCTGGAACCTGTTTCCAAGGCTCTCTTCTCTGGCCTCTCAGTGAGCCAAAGCAGCCCCACTTAGGCTCACTCCTGTTGCTGCTTCTATTCTAAGCTCTTCCCTGTCCCCAGCTTTAATAAACATACTCTATAATGAAAAATAATATAAAACCCAAAGGATGGAATATCCAAATTTTAAATAAGAACAGAAAACTATTATACTCTGAAACAGTCTCTTGCTTAGAACAAAATGACAACTTGAATTATTTGATACCCTTCTTTGTATCTCCTCCTTAAAACTAATATTAACTTCTACATACACATACAGTCTATTAAAATTGTTCCAAAGAACTGTCTATATAAAATTTTCTTTGTGTCAGTGTTACCTTACATCACCTGAAATCCTTTAAAAGGTATTTTCAGGACACATATATATGCAGATAATTATAACTTACATGATAAAAATAATACTAACAATAGAATGATAATACATTTATTATAATAGTAAGACATTTATTGAACCCTACTCTGCCACAGGCACTGCTCTCAGTATTTTACCTGTATCAATTTATTTAATCATCACAATCTAAAAAGCAGATATTATTATTCCCCTTTTACAGTAAGAAAACTTATTGAGGTATAGAAAGGTTAAGTAACTTGTCCAAAAGCAAACAGCATAATTAATGAGATAAGATTTAAATCAGGATATGTGTTCAGAGCCTGCATTTTTAATCTTTGTGTTCTAATGCCCCTCAATATAGTAACTACAAATTAACTACATAGAAATTTAGTAAAAGAAGTATTATTTGTAAAAATAAGTTCTATTTAAACTTTTCAACATGAAAATATAAACTAAGAAGATACTATCCTATACATTAAGACTCAAAAATTATATCATAATTCAGCAATGGTAGAATTTTCTTTTCATAACTCCACAAAGGAATAATTTCCCACATGCTCACCGAGGCCAATACTGCTGCTAATACAGATGCAACGAACTGTGGAATCAGAACCTCATCTACAAAGAGTAAATCCCAGCTCTTTTGTGCACCACTCAACAGAAAAATGTGTCCTTTTGCTCTATTATTTGCATCGAGTACCTATCAAAGATACAGCTAATACAAACTAAATGTTTTTCACATATATATATAAAATACCATTATTACTACATGTCCGACTCAATAAAAACAACAATGGTAATCATTCCTTAGCTCCTCAATTAAAGTAAGATTAAGCTTGAGAAAGAGCAGACCAAATGGAATCTGATACTAGCTTAAGAAGAAAAATATTAAGGGAGATTTTGCCACTCTAAATCACCAGTATATTTTGAAATCATGTCAGAATTTATTTTAAGCAGATTTCATAATAGTGGCAGCAAAAGGGCAAAACTACTTTTAACTGTTTCAATTTTTTCAGGCACTGCTTCTATTACCAGGAGACTATCCCCTTAGAGAAAATCCACCACTACACATGCATTATGTAAATTATACTGTACATACTAAACAAAATATCCTCCCCATTCACCCCTAATGCAAAGAACAAAATATATCACAGGACACTTCTGAATACTCTACCAAGGTTCTTACTGTCACAAGATTTGGATAAAAGGAAGTATTTCCTCAGGGTACAACCAAAGTCATTAAAATAAAATGGTGTTTTGCTCCATAAAATCATCCTCTTTTTCATTTATAATTTGATTGTAAAACAGGTGTGAGAAAGTTCAGTAATTCAGATAATCGAAGTTTTACTCCATTTCACCTTAAGCAACAATCATATTTGAAATTTTCATCCCCATCTCTTTAAAAAAAGAACACAGTAACATTTATAAATATTAATGGCAAAGTTAGATCTTTATTAATTCTTCCCTCTTTCTGGCCCTAAAAACAGTATGAAAGTTCTTTAAATTAGGAATGTAAATATAAAACAACAAAAGTGCGCTGGCAAAGAGCAGGTACTGCTGACTGAAGGCATGCAGCATTTGAAACAGAAATCAAGAAACAGTAGTTGTCCTGGCCTTTGCTATCTCAGCTCCCCTATCCTCGGCTGAACAGGGGAGTCTGGCAGGACGCAGAGCAATCTCCCTCTCAGTTTAGGGGGCCATCTTGAGTAAAGGGCTGGCTCTTAAAGGCACAAGAGGACAATTTAAAAAAAGATAAAGGAAAGAAAAAGAAAGAAACAGTAGTACAGGAAAAAAAATGCTTCTTAATAGTGTCCTTTGTTTTGGATTCCAATTCTGGAATTAAGCACGTGGCTAAGGACATTAGGCATTTATTAAAGCTCCAATTCAAGATTCTTTTCAGCTAGCCTACAAAAGGCCTCTACACAAATAGGGATGACTGAAATGAAGAAGCAGCAATAAAAACTATCTTTTCAGCCAAAAGGTGAAAAGGAGAGAGAGAAAAAGTGACAGGAATTTAGGGAGGAAGAGTGCCAACTATCCTACACATGCCAGCCCTGCACAAGCTCCTATGTGCTCCAGAAGACATCAGCCAATGTAAGTCTCATTGCTTAGGTAAGTCTCAGCTGGAAAAGAAATGAAGGAAGCAAAGAGGAAGAATAAAAATGTTCCTTCTATATTTCTTCTCAAAAAATGTGGAGGGGAAAAGGAATATTCAGTTAGGTAATATAAAAATAAGCTATTGAATGAAACGTTTTTTAGATACTGGTCCAGGAAAACCCCAAATACTGGTATTTCCTTTTTCTAAGCCAGAACAGTGCCACCCACTGACTGCTGAATGACTTTAACTGAGAAGTACACAGACTTGACTCCATGAATATCAAAAGGAAACCATTCATTGCAGGAAGTTTTATTTCTTCTGGCATTTCACATATTAAACTTTTTTCCCCTCAGGACCACCTATCTTTTATAGCTGAATACTGACGTACTTAGCAATAAAATATCACATAATCTTTTCATTACTTTAAAATACTTTCAAAAAAAGCAATAAAGCAAAAATAAAATGGTAACTGCTAAAACGAGGTCATGGGTATATGGCAGTTTATATTTGTCCTTTATTTTTCTGTGTGTCTTTATAATTTCATAACAGATTTTCTTAATCTGTTCATTAAGAAAAATGGTAGTTAACAGTTCTTAACAAAAAAGGTAGTTAACAATTATAACCCAGCACAATGTAATAAATGTGCTGGAATTAAGTAGAAGATGTTGAGTAGGCCTATATTTTATTCTGTTTGGAAAGGAAGTAGCCTCATACTACATGAAAGCACAGCAAGAAAGCTGAAGTGGTCAGGAGGTGAACTCCAACAAGGTGTACAGAGTAAGTCCTTGCTAAGATAAAATCTTAGAGACTGCCTAGGCAAAATATAAACTACTCTGAAATCCAAGGCAACACATTATGAGCATAAAACTTGAGAAAACCAAACTAAAAATTAAGGCTTCTAAAGAAGGGTAATAAAGAGTAACTGTAACACAGAATCTTCTAGATAAGACTTCTATATGAAAGGCTTTCAATAATAAAAAAAAAAAAAAATGAACAAACGCAGATGTGAGGATGAAAATGGGTTGGAGTGGTGTAGTCTGATGGGAGGAGGAGCCAGAAACGAAGGAATGGAGGTGATCTCTAGAGGCTGCAAAGATAAAGAAACAGACTCTCTCCCCTAGGAGCCGCCAGAAGGAATGCAGCCACCGTGACAGCTTCATTTTAGGACTTCTGATATTAGAACTTCTGACTCCAAACCAGAATAAATCTAATGGAATTGATGATTATCAAAAAGAACTTAGAAAACTAAAGTTTGAATCCATTATTTTTGGATCAAGGCACATTGAATTGCTTAGGAGAAAGAAGGCTTTTTAATGGCTTGTCAACAGGTTTATAAAACTTTACAGGAAGAACTGACTGCAAAAGAAAGGAAGACATAAAAAGAATAATTAACCCTGCAGAAAATGAACTAGAAATAACCAAAACTCATCTCAATCAGACAAAGTAAGAAGTTGTAACACTGAAAAGTGAAAGGTGCAGTCAAGAATAATTTTTTCCAAAAATATTTTATGTAAGTATGCCATATATATTTGAAACATCAAGGTCCTACATATTTTAGTAACAATGAAATCACAGGATTAAAGATGTACAACACCTGGGGGGTGGGAGGGACAAACCAAAGGGATACAGGTCAGAAAAATTAACAAGAAATTCACAGAAAGACTTGAGAGGATGTCTATTTCTTTTTGTTGTTGTTGTTGTTTTTTAAGTCCTCACCCAAGGATATGTTTATTGATGAGAGAAAGAGAGAGAGAGAGAGACAGACAGAGACATCGATGTGAGAATGAAACATCAACCGGTAGCCTCCAGAACGCACCCCAACCAGAGATCAAACGCACCAACCTAGGTATGTGCCCAAAACCAACATAGATGTATGTATAAACATCATAAATGGATGTAACAACATTGTTATTTTTAATGCCAAGAAATAAAATTAGATTGGAAATAAACAAGCTTAAATACCTTTCAGATATTACCTATTATTCTGAAAATTTCAGGTCAATTAGAAAAAATTCATAATCTTTCAATAAAATGGATAAAATTATAATTTTTTTATATAAGTAGCACAGTTTTCATAATCAAATTATGTTAAATCACTTACATCATAAAATAGTTTTCTATCAGCAGCTAGACGTTTAGAGGCCAGGGTCTTGGTAACATGATAGAAGGTAAGTAATGCTCTATGCTGTCGAAGATCGTCTTGGACTTTCACAGATTCTATAAGAGTGGGAATCAGTTCGGGCCACTGTCTGGGACAGTCCAGTCGAGCAACTTTTGCAATCAGCACTGCAATCTGAGTTGCAATCTGGAGAAGAAAAATTAATCATCAGAAATAAACATATGTAATCAAAGCAATAGATAAAAAATGCATTCATAGTTGAAAATTACTTTTTTGGTTAACTATACATTTGACCAAAATGAGTAAAATTTTCACAAAACAACTGTTTAAGACAGTAGTTTTCAAAGTGTGGTCTATGGATCTCAGGCTAGAGGCCTAACTAACATCCTTTCTGTGAGGTCCTCCCTTTCCCAATAACGTATTCATATAACTTCTACTAAAATAATATATTGCAACAGAGTAAATGAAGAAGCAGCTATGGAAATGCAGATGCATTTCTACACTAAAGGCATATACAGACATGCAGAAAAATTCAACTATTCTCATTAAATTATCTATTGTTTTGAGAAATATCTGTTTTTTAAAATTCTGTTTAACAAGTAATGGTTTTATTATTTTTAATATTTAAATTTTTTCAGTTTTAATTTCTAATAGAGTAAATATCAACAGATATAACCCTTTAGGGTTTTATTTTGGCAGTATAAGGAACTTCTAAGATCATAAAGGTTGAGAGCTATTGACCTAAGAATAGAAATGAACATCAAATATTAGGTATTTAAATAATGATATCTGTTCAGATCAGTATTTCTCAATTGCTGGCTGACAGGACATCTAACCAATGGTTAACCTCTCAATCACCCAAACCCTTTCTGATCACCTCCTGCCCCAGTGAGAGTTACTCTATTCCTTTCCACCTTCCCTCATCAACTTAAGGAACTGTAAGGCAAAAACTGAGATCATTTAAATAAGTTGAGATAAAACTGCATTGGATACACAACCAAATACAGTGCACTTTGTATCCATAAGCTAAACTTATTCTGTTCTTAGGGGGGAAAAAATCCACTATGGGGGGCACAGGGGGCGGGGGGCAGGGAACTGTATAGTTTACTATACATCTCCCATGTAGTAAGAACTGAAAATGTGATGGATAAAATAGACAAAAACCTGAACTCATACTGTAGTTTACAAAAAGGGGGGAAGATGATCTAAGTCATTAAAATGAATTTCTATGCAGTAATACTATAAATACAGAGATTGTTTTCAATGTTAGGTCAAAAACTGAGGAAGTTTAAAAAGTATGCAAGTGTATGTTAAAATGACTTCCAAATTTTAAATAATTAAAAGTGAAATCTAACCAAAATTCTTAACACCTAGAACTGGGTCTCAAAATTTAAAAACCAACATATATGTACATATAAACATCACAAATGGACATTATGTAACAACATTTTATTTTTAATGCCAAGAAACTAGATTTAGATTGGAAAGGAAACAAAAACTAAGGAAAGAGAAAGAATAATTAGCATTCATTTTCTCACAAACCTGGTTTATTGGTTCATTGAAGTTGGTGATTAGCCCTGCACGCAATGTAGATTTCTCCTCCTCTGAGAGAGCACTGAAAAAAGATATATTTATTATGCAAGAGAATGCTACCTTACAATAAATGCTGGTAAGCACTACTGTGAATTTTAACAAGAAAAAAGCTTTTTAAAAGAGATGTCCCTGATTGTTTTTGGTACATAAATAACTTGCATTAGTTGTACACTGGCACATAAAGTAATTCTAAAGCATAAAATTCCCTCACAATCGAACAAATAGGAAGCACAAAATAGTAAGCCATAGCAAATAAGACTAATCCACAGTAATGAAAGTGATATTTTGATGTTTGCTTTTATCGATGTAAAAATGGTTGTGGACAAAAAAAATTAATGACTTGCTAAGAAAATCTGAGTAAAAATCAATCTTCCACTAACTTCTTTTATAAAATCTGAGTGAAGTTATTCTACAGGGAAAAGAATGAGGAATTAGAGAATGTTGGGATTGGAAGATTTATTTGAAATCGAGCAGTTTAAAATCTTTTAGTTTACATATCTGGAAAGGGTAAACAATACTAGTGATCTTGACTGCAAAATAATGAAGGAAACTAGACAGCAAAAGGACAGGGATGGCTAATAGTCACTGTATAAGAATGTATATTTTGCTTTTTGAACAAAATCAATGTATTAGTTATCTAAAAATTAAATTTTAAAGCCCTCATACTCAGATTTTTCATTCTGGCGGATGAATCATCCAAATAAAATCAGTTACAAAAGTTGTGGAGAATTAAAAACAAGTTTTAAGGCATCTGTAGATGTGAATTGCCCCTGTGAAAAGATATGTTCAAGTGCCAACCTCAAGAGCCTGATTGTGATCTTACTTGGAATCGAGGGTTTTACAGATGTTAATCAAGTAAAAATGAGGTCATATTGGATTGCAGTGGGCCCCAATCCAATGACTGGTGCCCTTTATAAGGAGAGAAAAATGTGGACAGAGACACAGAGAAAACATGTGAAAGGAGTCTATGTGATGATGGAGGTAGACATCATGGTGATGCAGCTGCAGGCCAAGGACTGCAGACTGCAACCAGAAGCTAAAAACATACAAGGAAAGATTCTTCCCTAAAGCCTTCAGAGTGAGCACAGCTCTGCCAAACACCTTAATTTTAGACTTCGAGCCTCCTGAACTGTGAGAAAATACACTTCTATTGTTTTAACCAACCCAGTTTGTGGGAGTTTGTTACAATAGTCCTAGAAAATAAATACAACATCTAAAAACAATTTCGGCATCCACGACTTGGAGACTCCCTGTGAGGTTTTTGTCCTCAAGAAATCAAGCTGAAAGACTGAAGAGCTAAGGAGAGTCCTCACAGTGCTGGAAAGACAAAAATTAAAGTTCGGAGCTCACCAAAAAGGCAATACTTTGGTAAACACCCAAGACTTGCAGTTGAAACCCCAGGAAAGCTAAAAGTAAGGAGATTAAGAGTAAACCAGCAAGAGACTACCCTCAATTAGAACATAGCTGAGATCATAGTTTATTTGCTTGCCTGGAAAAAATACTGTTCTCTCTGGAGAAAGATAACAGAATTCAAGCCTCTGCAATTTTCCATATACAATGCTCAGCATTCAATCAAAATGTATCAGGTATACTAAAAAAGAGGGAAAAAAATGACTAAAAGCAAAATACAAGTAGACACTGATCATATAGACAATGTAATTATCAGAATCACATTTAAAATATTTAGGATGATTAGCCCTAGCCAGGTGCTCAGCTCAGTTGGTTGGAGTATCATCCTGATGGACCAAGGCTGTAGGTTCAATTCCCAGGTGGGGAACATGCAAGGGTCAACCAGTGAATCCATATATGGATGAAACAACAAATCAATGTTTCTCTCTCTAAAATCAGTGAGTAAAAATTTTTAAATATATATTTAGGATTATTACACTCAATAAAATAGGTGAAAGATGGAGAATTTCCCCAGAAAACTGGAATCTGTTTTTTAAAAAATACTACAGGGACAGCCCGGAAATGATAAACACATGAAGTGAAATAAAGGTAGCTGAAGATAGTTCAGTGGGAAAAAAAAAAGACTGATGTATAATGAGAAAATTTTGCTTTTGAGAGAGTTCATTTACAATGTGCACTACAGAAATACTGAAGGCGCTTTTTCAGGCAAAAGACAAATGGACCCATATGGAAGCCTGGTAACACTGAAAGGAATAAAGAACACTAGAAAGGTAAATTTAAATGACTACTGCTGGCAAAATAATATAAAATACTGTATTATGGAGTTTAAAATAGGTGGTGAATTAAAGTACTCAACAAGAGCATAAAAGACAGGAAGGCATAAATGAAGTTAAAGTATTATAAAGTTCTTGCATTATCTGGAAAAAGTAAAGTACTAATCTAAGGACAGTCTCTAGGAAGGCAAAGATGCAAGATACAACTTCTAGGAAAATCATTTGAATAATAAGCATCTTAATAATCTTGTAGAGGGAAAAACTGAGTAACAACGAATTCAAAGGAAGAAAAAAAAGCGGGACAGCTCCTGTAAGCCAGCCACGAGGTTATCGCGAGACATCCTCAATACCAAGCGCCTGGGAGAGCCAGTGTGAGACAAAGAGAGAGTCCTTCCCTGCCGCAGGATAATCAAGAGTTTTGGCCAGTCCTTTGAGCACAGACCAGGATAGTGAGGAGCCAGACGCAAAGCACAGACTATGGAGCTGAAACGGATTAATAAGGAACTTAGTGATTTGGCCCGTGACCCTCCAGCACAATGTTCTGCAGGTCCAGTTGGGGATGATATGTTTCATTAGCAAGCCACAATTATGGGACCTAACGACAGCCCATATCAAGGCGGTGTATTCTTTTTGACAATTTACTTTCCTACAGACTATCCCTTCAAACCACCTAGGGTTGCATTTACAACAAGAATTTATCCAAATATTAACAGTAATGGTAGCATTTGTCTTGATATTCTAAGATCACAGTGGTCTCCTGCTTTAACTATCTCTAAAGTTCTTTTATCCATTTGTTCACTGCTATGTGATCCAAACCCAGATGACTCCCTAGTGCCAGAGATTGCACGGATCTATAAAACAGACAGAGATAAGTACAACAGAGTATCTTGGGAATGGACTCAGAAGTATGCCATGTGATGCTACCTTAAAGTCAGAATAACCTGCATTATAGCTGGAATAAACTTTTAAATTACTGTTCCTTTTTTGATTTTCTTATCCGGCTGCTCCCCTATCAGACCTCATCTTTTTTAATTTTATTTTTTGTTTACCTCCCTCCAGTCATTAACATGCTCATCTGAGACGACTTAAAAGTTATTCCAGCTTTGGACAATAACTGCTCTGAGAAACTGTGAAGTAGTTACAAGAGAACAGTTGCCCAAGATTCAGAATTTTTTTGAAAAAATGGAGCACGTGTATTATATGGCCAATGTCTTCGCTCTGACTTGGTTATGATACTGATACCACTCCTCACTGCTCTAACATGCTGAAGCAATCATCCGAGGGGGAGGGAGATGGATGCTCGGTTGTCGCATCAGAGGAAGCAGCACTGTTCTAACAGCATCCATTCTTGTTTAAGCCTTCCACTGTTAGAGATCTGAGGTTACATGATATACTTTATGCTCATAACTGATGTGGCTGGAGAACTGGTATTGAATTTATAGCATCAGCAGAACAGAAAATGTGATGTATTTTATGCATGTCAATAAAGGAATAACCTGTTCTTGTTCTACAGAGAATGGAAATTGGAAGTCAAACTCCCTTTGTATTCCAAAATAGGGTCTCAAACATTTTGTAATTTTCATTTAAATTGTTAGGAGGCTTGGAGCTATTAGTTAATCTATCTTCCAATAGACTGTTTAATATAGTACTGAATAAATGATGCAAGTTGTCAATGGATGAGTGATCGACTAATAGCTCTGCTAGTAATTGATTTATTTTTCTTCAATAATGTTGCATAAGCCAAAAAAAAAAAAAAGGTGGTTGGGACAGAGATCAGAGAGAAACAAACAGAAACAAATAGTGGATGGTAGACTTGACCTCAACTTAAACAGATGATAGACTTGACCCCACTTTTATTAGTAATCACTTTAAATGTAAATAGACATAATACTAAAATTAAAAATACATTTATTGGATTGCATTAAAATAAAACCCAACTACTATTTGTTATTTGTAAGATAAACATTATGAATGGAACACAAAGAAATTCTACAAGAAAAAGCAGAGAAAAATATACCATGCAACCATAAGATGGCTGGTCTAGCTCTATTAAAATCAGACAAACTAGACTTTAAGCCAAAACACGTTACTAAAGGTAAGAAGAACATTTCATAATTGGGACAAGGTCAATTCCACAGGAGGATAATAACCCTGAACTTACATGATCCTATAATATAGCCCTAATATATAGAAAGTAAAAACAGAATGAAAAGAAGGAACAGGTAAGCCCACAATTAGAGATTAATCTAGAGATTAATACACACCTCTCAGTAAATGATGGGGAAAGCAGTGCAAAATCATTAAGGACCCAGAAGAGTTACAGCATAATTAACAAATGTGACCTGACATATATAAAACATTACAATCCACAATGGCAAAACCTACGCTCCTTTCAAACTCACACAAAACGCTTACTAGGATACCAATCATATGCTGGGATCATAAGACAGAGCATTTCAAGAAATGAAATCAGTAACAAAACAGTAACTAAAAAGCCCCAATTGTTTGGAAATTAGGTAATATACTTTTAATTGACCCATGGGCTTACAGCAAAATCACAGGAGAAATTTTAAAATATTTTTAACTGAATGGTAATGAAAATACTACCTATCAAAGCTTATAAAACTGAACTTAAACCATGATTAACAAGAAATGCCTCAATTTTTTTTGCATATTTAAGAAAAACAATGAAAATCAACTATGTAAGCTTCCATCTCAAAAAGCGAGAAAAAGAACAAGTTAAATCCAAAAAAGTAACAGAAAATACATCAAGCTTTGTAAAGTATAGTAACTAAAGCAAGCATAGCCAAAAAAGCCAACAAGACAAAACGGAGAATCCAAAACAGATCCCTGCACATAAAGTGCCTGATTTATAACAAAGGAACCACTGAAATGTGACAGGGAAAGACTATATAGTGCTGGCTCTACTTCAATACAAACCTTACACAGATATCACTTCCAGATAGATCATAAACCTAAGTGTGAACAGTAGGGGGAGGGGGAGCTTCTGGCAGAGAACTTAGAATATTTTCATGACCTTGGGTTAAGCAAAAATTTTGTAAATAGACCCCAAAACAATTAATCATAAAAGAAAGGTAGTGAAACTGAAATTAACATTAAGAGCTTCTCTTCATCAAAACACCATTGAAAAAGTGAAAAGGCAAAGTGGAAGAAGATATTTTCAATATGTATATTCAACAAAAAACTTACATACAAAACATATACAAAGTCACACAAATCAATAAGATTACTCAATTTTTTTACTGTGCAAATGACAGGCCCCTCACAAAAGAGGGTATCCAAATGAAAAGGGTACCCATTTATCATTAGGAAAATGAAAAAGTTACAAAACACACCAGTATGACTAAAATGAAAAGCTAAGTGCTGATGACAACATGGAGTACAAGCTAACACTCACATGCTGCTGGTGGGAGTGTAAATTGGTAAAATCTGTGTGGAAAATTAACTGACGGTATCCACTAGAGTAGAGTATATATCTGACTATACAATGCACACTTACATGCAGCAAGACATGTCAAAGAGTTTTCAAGGAAGCATTATTTTTAACAGTCAATAACGAGAAAGAACCCTGATGGCCCATCAACAGCAGAACAAGTAGGTAATTGTGGTGCGTTCCTAAAATGGAATGTTACACTCCTACATAAAAGAGTACACCACTGCTCAAACTACATGGTTAAATTTCACAAATATAATACTGAATAAAAGCCAGATACAAAACAGAACGTACTATGTGATTTCCACTTAAATGAAGCTCAGAAAGAGGAAAAACTAATCTATGGTGAGTGAGATGTCAGACTACTCACTTGGTGGGCAGAGGGTGGAATAGGTGAACTATGAGGGGGCAGCCAAGAGGCTTCTGGGGTGCTAGTAATGTTCTGCCTAGTTCTAAATGGTAGTTACATGGGTGTGTTCACATTAAAAACATTCAAACTATACCTGTCATTTGTACATTTTTAAGTATGTTATATACAGGGTGGGCTAAAGTAGGTTTACAGTTGTCCATATGGAAAAAGACAAATACTACAAATAAATAATACAATACTTAGTAAATAATACAAGAATAAAGTGTAAACCTACTTTTGCCCATTCCTGTATTATACCTCAACAAGTTTTTCGAACCTTAATAGACTTGCTCAAGGTCAGTAAACAAATGAGAAAACAAGATTAAGATAAACATTTGGGTGCAGAGTCAAAGCCCAATGAAAGTCTATTCTATGCTTTTCCATCAGAAATGATCTCTCTAATCATTTCATAATTCTGCTATACTTCCCAACTTCAATAGCTCGCCCTCTATTATCAAACCTATGAAATGTTTTCTGCTATACTGTTTTGCTTTACACTTGAAATTCAAGTTTACTTCTATGTCAAGGAACCAGGTACAACAGTTTTCATAATTCTAATTAAAAGAATATAACATAATAAGCTAAAAGGAGAGAATATTAAAAATATACACCTATTAAAGAAAACAAGCCATTAACATGCAAGAAAGATTTAGCAACTCTCCAATAGTAGTTAATACTCTACCTTTAGTTTTATGTACATGCTATCATTAGATGAATTCAGACTATATCCCAACTAGAAACTGGACAGTATAAATTAATTAGGACACAATTAAAGTTGCAATGTACTTAATGATATATAAGTTTATGTTAATCCTCATTCTGTGAAAATGGTGTTAAGAGTAGGAATTATAACAACATGAAACTTAGATAAGAATATAAGAATAAACTCCAGTCAAGATGGTGGCGTAGGCAGACATGGCTCCTCTCTTCGTACAACCACATCTATATTTTATTTAAAATTTTGAAGAACCATCACTCAGAACCATCAGAAATCAAGATGAATGGAAGTCTGACAACTACAGAATGAAAGAAACCACACCCATCCAGACTGGTAGGAGGACCACAGATGCAGAATGGGATGGTCCTGTATCCGCCTGTGGTCGATAAAAATTCTGGAGGGATATTTCGGGAGCAAGGAGTCTCAGCCTCACACCAGGCCCCCCAGCCCAGGGTTCCAGGGCCAGGACAGTAAGTCTCCACAACTTCTGGCTGCAAAATTCAGCAGGGGTTGAGTCGGTAGAAAAAACTTCTGGACCCCCAAGCAGTTTCTCTTAAGGAACTCACACACAGGCTCACCTACTCAGACTCACTCCCTCTGAGCTCCAGCACAGGGTAGCAGCTGGAAAGGCACCAGTGGCACACAGGGAGAAACTGAAGTGTCTGGCATCGAGGCAAGCAGGAGCCATTGTACATTTTCTAAACGCTCCCCACACAGAGCCACAGAGTGGACAACCTGGTGCCACATCTGAGACACCATCAACCTAGTTAATACTCTTTGACCCTCTTTGGAGAAGCCCAGAGACACTGCCCCACCCAACTTATGGGCCTACCCAAGTTGCTTTTCCATAGGAATGACAGGTCTTGACTCATGCTTCGCAACTTCCTAAATCCTCTCAAACAAGTAACACCTGGCCTCAGTGAGTCCCAGGCCCAGCACTAGCAGCAGCCACCCTAGATTTACAACCTGGCTTTGTCTGAAAATCTCCAATTCTAGCACAAGTAGCAGCTATCTCAGATTGCTTTATAGCTTAGGCAGGGTGGTCACAGGCAAAACACAGGTGAGGGCTGGCCGTGGCCTGCAATACCCAGGAAACCCCCGGGCCAGTGCACCCAGTGAACAGCCACAGACCATGTCGGATCACCACCACCCTGCCCCTGCACAGCTCACCCCTCCACAGAGGGTGGACGTTGGTGGTCAGTGGTCGCAGCCAGTCCTTGCAGCTGACTGGCCTGGGTAAATCCCTCCCATTGACCTGCCAACAGCAATCAAGGCTCAACTTACTAGGATGCATTCAGCCCACACAAAGAGTGCACCCTGAGTACCCAGCTTGGGTGATAAGGGAGGCTATGCTAATGGACCCTACTGGACACTTACATTAGGCCACACTACCAAGACAGAGAGTCAAAGCAACTCTACTTGATATATTGAAACAAATACAGGGAGGCTGCCAAAACAAGGAGAGAAAGAAACACAGCCCATATGAGAGGAGATCAAAACTCCAGAAAAAGAGCTAAATAAAATGGAGATAAGCAATCTGTCAGATGCAGAGTTCAAAACACTGGTTACAATGATGCTCAAGGAACTTATTAGCAAGGACCTTCACAGCATTAAAAAGATCCAGTCAGAAATAAAGAATATACTAACAGAAATAAGGAAGAAATTACAAGTAAATGACAGAGTGGATGATGCCAAGAATCAAATCAATGATATGGAACATGAGGAAGCCAAAAAACAACCCATCACAACAACAAGAAAAAAGAATCCAAAAAATAAGGACAGTATAAGCAGCCACTGGGACAACTTCAAGCATTACAACATTCACATCACAGGGGTGTCAAAAGAAAAAGAGAAAGAGCAAGAAATTGGAAATCTATTTGAAAAAATAATGAAAGAAAACTTCTCTAATTTGGTGAAGGAAATAGACATGCAGGTCCAGGAAGCACAGAGTCCCAAACAAGATAGATGCAAAGAGGCCCACTCCAGGACACATCATAATTAAAATGCCAAAGGTTAAAGATAAAGAGAGAATCTTAAAAGCAGCAAGAGAAAAGGAGAGAGTTATCTACAAAGGAGTTCCCATAAGTCTGTCAGCTAATTTCTCAAAAGAATCTTTGCAGGCTAGAAGGGTTGGCAAGAAACATTCAAAGTCATGAAGCGCATAGACCTAAGCCAAGACTTGGCTCTATCCAGCCAAGCTATTATTTAGAATTGAAGGGCAGATAGAGAGCTTCCCAGACAAGAAAAAGCTAGAGGACTTCACCATCACCAAACCATTATTATATGAAACATTAAAGGAACTTATTTAAGAAAAAGAACAAGATCAAAACTATTAACAATATAAATGGCAAAAATACATATCTATCAAGTGAATCTAAAAATCAAACTAAGCAAACAGGAAGAACAGAGGCAGATCAAGGATATGGAGAGCATTCTGATGGGTTCCAGATGGGAGGGGGTATGGGAGAAAGGGTGAAGAGATTAGGAGGATTAGGAAGTACAAATAGGTAGTTACAGAATAGCCACAGGCATGTAAAATTATAGGAAACAGAGTAGCCAAAGAACTTACACACAACTCATGGACATGAAGAATGGTGAGAGGATTAGCTGAGGCAAGGGGTGCCAAGTGTAGAGGGGCAAAGAGGGAAAAATCAGGACAACTGTAATAGCATAATCAATAAAATATAATTTAAATAAATAAACAAAAATAATACAAACAAGCATATCTTACGGGTCAATTTAAATATCAGTTTGATTACTAATCTTTGTTCCCTTGCTCCCTTTCTCAGTACATTCTTAACATCCTTTTCTCCTAAGTACATTCATCCTTTCCAGCTTGTATCTCAATATATACTAAAAGAGATACCTTGGGATTCAACTTCCTAACACTATAAAACTTAATGCCATTAATTTTTTAAAACAAGTAAATTCCAGTTTTAACTCTTCATGTGACAGTAAAATCTGAAATATTTAATTATAACCAGTAAAAAAATCAATTTTGGGCCCTGACCGGGTAGCTCAATTGTTTGGAGCATCATCCCAACAAGCCGAGGTTGCGGGTTCCGTCCCAGTCAGGACACGTAACAAGAATTGACCACCGAATGCACAGATGGGTAGAACAACAAATCGATGTCAATCTCTCTCTCTCTCAAACCATTAAAATTTTTAAAAATTTTAGGAAATTCCTGAAATTTAACTGGACATAGCAGCAGAAAAGTTTGTGCTGCAGCACTGTTTCCAATAACTTGATAATAATTTCTCATCACTAAATATCCTCTCTCAAAATTATGAATTAATTTTAAAATAAGAGATGGGTTTGCTTTATAATACAGTATCTTAAGTACAGCCTTAAACTATTCTAGTTGCTTCCAATATATTCAAGAACACATTTTATATGCATTTTAAAGTACTCAGACAAGTTTGCCTTTTTTTTTTAAAGTCCTCTAAGTATAAGAGCTATGGTGCCATCTACTGGAAAGCGAAGGCTATGTTAGTTCTTCAGCAAGATTCACTATTTTCTACCAAATAAATTCCAGGGTCATGTCTACATTACCTTTCCGTCATTTACGTAACATGTAATTAATTATCAAGAGAAATATGTTCACTTAACCACCTATTGAGCAGTTACAACTGAATCTCACAAGATTGCAAATGTACACTATCTCATTCCCACCACAAAGGAAATTATGCAGAAGACACAAAAATTAATATCCAGCTGGCTCAGAAAAGACATTGGATTTCTTTCTCAAAGATTTGGGTTTTCAAAATCCTAATCTCATATTTCTTTTTTAAAAAAAAAGACTTTTTCAACATGACTCATTCAACTCAGCCTTTTTTTTTTTGTGCCCGTAAAATTAAAGATCCTCAAAAGCAGGGCAACTAGAAATCCACACAACCCCCCTCCCTCAAATTAAAAAAAAAATCATGGAAAAAAGCAATAATATGGATATTGATTTGGATATTGATATAATGAACTATGCAGAACACTTTTTTAATAAGTATTACACTTATTTTTCTTTTAAATGTCAAACACTTCACAAATTTGCATGTCATCCTAGCACAGGGACCATGCTAATCTCTACAATGTTCCAGTTTTAGTATATGGACTACTTAAGTAAACACAGACTCATTCTTTTACATAAAGAATGAAGATTAACAGGTACATTCCAATACTTTCCTGAATTTGGAAAGGATTACTACACTAGGAGGAGAGTGATGAAACTTACTGAGGTGCTACACGTCTCCAGTAACGATCAATTCCATTTTTAAAATACAGCACAGCAAGCCACCTTACATTTATATCCAGAGAGTGGTTTGTGAAAATATTCTGTAAATAAAAAACATAGTATTACAATAAACATACCCACAATAAAATACTAATAAATTTTTAATTTCATATAAACTATAATACCATATTATTATTTTCTAAATAACTATAGCTCTACATTTCATATAAGAAAATATACCCATTTAGTAGAATGTTAATAGTTTAAGCTGAGTAATGGATAGGTGAAGATTCATTACATTATTCTACTTTTAAGTATGTTTGAAATTTTGCCTAATAAACGTAAAACAAAATAAACATCATTATACGTCACTATCTACACACACAGGAAACTGAACATCGTCTAAATTAAATAAAAATGCACCCATCACAGCGTAAGTTCAAAGATTCTAAAGAGTCAAACCCTTGGGATATTAATGTATTCTAAGAAATGAATTATTTCAAAATACTGTCAGTAAAACAAGTGTGCTTATCATTGTTTGATAGAACAGTCTTAAGTTATATAATGTAGATGTGACATGAATAATTTCAACTCAAAATTAACCATTACTCAAAATATTTATTTGCTACGTTAATACAGGTAATCCTCACTTTGCACAGTAGTGGGAGACTGTAAAAATGATTGTATAAGCTAAACCATGCAGCATAATCTTAATAATTAGGGAGAAACTAACAATGGTTCTGCGATCTTTAAATTTTGTATCAAGAATTTTATTAAATTATCGAAAATTTATAACTGGGTTATAAATTTATATGAAAAAGAACAGTAAAACTAATACTTACACTGCAATTTAAAACATCACAGGACTTCTGATCAAGATGGCAGAGTAGGTAAATGCCCTCAGCAAATCCTCCCACAACCACATCAAAATTACAACTATACTACAGAACAAACATTATTCAGAACTATATGAAATCTAGCTGAATGGAAGTCCTACAACTTGGGATTTAAAGAAGCCGCCACATTGAGACTGGTAGGAGGGGCAGAGACGTGGAACAGGCTGGTCCCACACCCACATGCGGCAGTTTAAAATCGGGAGGGGTATCTCAGCTTTGGAGGTCCCCCCTGAGAAGTGACAGACCCAGGCCAGGGTTCCAGTGGTAGGACGAGAAATTCCTGTAACTTCTGGCTGTTAAAAACCAGTGGGGATTGTGTCCAAGAGAGACAAGGGCTACTGGAGTCCCAGGCAGTTCATATGAGCCCATGCATGGACTTATTTGGACTCATTCCCTCTGAGCTCCAGCGCTGGGGCACCAGGTTGAACTGTACGGCATCAGGGCAAGAGCTGGGATAGCAGCTTTCTGCCAGGCAGAGGTCACTGTTCCTTTCTGGAGACCCACCCCACTTGCACATGCAGAGATGGCAGGTAGGCACTGTATCTGAGTCTCCATCAACCTGGCTATCACTGTTTGCACTGCCCTGGCGATTCCCTGAGACCCCACCCCACCCAACTTGTGGGCCAACCCAAGTCGTTTCCAGTGGCTTTTCCTACCAACGGCCTCTACTGCTTCATGCTTTGGGCTTTCCTAAAATCTCTGAAACAATCCATATCTGGCCTTTGTGTACCTGTACATCTTGCTAAGTGGCTCCAGGCCCCGCAGCAGCAGCAGCAGCAGCAGCAGCAGCAACCGGCCCTGATTTGCAGTTTGGCCTCTCCTGGGCACCTCCAAGTCCAGCACAAGTAGCAACCATCTCCAGAAGGCTCTATAGCTTGTGCCAGGTAGCTGCAGGCTGGGCACAGACAGTAGCTGACTTTTCACTGCCCAAAAGGCCCCACAGCCAGGGCTACCCAGTGGACAGCTTCAGGTCACACCAGATTACAACTCTACCACCTCCACAAGTAACACACTCAATGGAGGGCTGGGTGAGCACCAAAGCTCCACTGAAGCAAGTCCTGCTCCAAAGGATCGACTCCTGTACAGCAGCTCCTCCACTGTAGTCACAGCCAATCCTGGGAGCCAAATGGCCTGGGGGGGGGCGGGGTGCGTGTCAGTCCTTCCCAGTGATGCCAACAGCAACCAAGGTTCAAGAACGGCAGGACAGTGCACACAGCTGACACAGGGCTGCACCTACAATGCCCAGCTTAGGTGACTGTGAGGCTGCCCCATCAGGCATTATAGGACATCTACTACGCAAGGCCACTCTCCTAAGTCCAGGAGACATAGCAGCTCTATCTAATACACAGAAACAAACACAGGGAAGCAGACAAAATGCAGAGACAAAGGAGCCGATCCCAAAAGAAAAAATAGGAGAACTCTCCAGAAAAAGAACTAAATGAAATAAAGGTATGCAAACTACCAGATACATGTTCCAAATGAAAGAAGAGAACTCCAGAACAAGAACTAAACAAAATGGAAACAAGCAATCTACTAGATGCAGAGTTCAAAACACTGGTTATAAGGATGCCTGATGAACCTAGAGGAAGAGTATATGAACTTAGAATTTCAACAGCATAAAAAGGACATGGAAACTGTAAAAAAGGATGTGTCAGAAATGAAGGATACACTAACTGAAATGAAGAAAATGCAGGGGTGTCCAACTTGCAGCTCGTGGGCCACATGCAGCTTAGGATGGCTATGAATGCAGCCCAACACAAAATCCTAAATTTACTTCAAACATGAGACTTCTTTTGTGATTACATGTTGCAATGTATTTAATGTGGCCCAGAGACAACAAAAGGTTGGACACCCCTGACAGCGAATCAACAGAATAGATGAAGCCAGAACTAAGTCAATAATTTGGAATATAAGAAAACGAAAAAAAAACACCCAATCAGAACAAAAAGAAAAAAGAATCCAAAAATCTGAAGATAGTGTAAGGAGCCTCTGAGACAACTTCAAACATACTAACGTTCACATCACGGAATGCTGGAAGGAGGAGAAAGTAAGAAATTGAAAAACCTATTTGAAAAAATAATGACAGAAAACTTACCTAACTTGGTGAAGGAAACAGACGTACAAGTCCAGGAAGTGCAGAGTCACAAATAAGATATGAACTAAAAGAGGCCCACACCAAGATATCATAATTAAAATGCAAAAGGTTAAAGACAAAAGACAGAATCTTAAAAGCAGCAAGAGAAAAGTAGTTACCTACAAGCAAGCTCCCGTAAGACTGTCAGCCGATTTCTCAACAGTAACTTTGCAGGCCAGAAAAAAGTGGCAAGAAATATTCAAAATATGAACGCAAGGACCAACAACCAAGTTTATTCTACTGAGCAAAGCTATCATTTAGAACTGAAAGACATATAAAGAGCTTCCCAGGCAAGAAAAAGCTAAAGGAGTTTATCACTACCAAACAAATATTACATGAAATGTTACAGGGTCTTTAAGAAGAAAAAAAGATCAAAAATAGGACAGTAAAATGGCAGTAAATTAAAAAAAACTAAATTTAAAATTAAACAATTAAAAAAATCACAAACATTGGAAACTACAGTGTCTTACTTCTTTGTAAAAAAACTTATTTAGATCCCTGGCAGGGTGGCTCAGTTGGTTGGAGTATCATTCTGTACACTAAAAGGCTGCAGATTCAGTCCCCAGTTGGGGCACATATATGAGGCAACCAATCAATATTTCTCTCTCACATTGATGTTTCTCTCTCTCCCTCCCTCTCTCTATAAAATAGTGAGTAAAATATATGCTCAGGAGAAGATAAAAAAAAATTATGGAGAATGGTGGGTGCATAAAACAAATGTAAAAATATGTTAAGGAGTAACTTAACTGACAAAATGCACTGTACCTCACACCAAAAACAACTCAAATCCCCAGAATTGACCTCTGAAACACAACTTTATGTGAGAAAACCTCAAAGACAAAAATAATGTGTGTTCTTGACTACAGAAAATATTATGTTAAGTATTAAAAAACAGGTGTGTACACCATAACACCATTTTTGGAAACATGAGCATATACACAAAAAAAGATCAAAATGTGTAATGCCATTTATCCCTTATTACCCATGGCATGAGTCAAGAGCCCCTCAGTTTAGATCTCCTTTGCAAGCATATAAATGGACTTCCCTCACCACATTAATCACATTCAATTTTAATACTTTACACGTCTACCTTCCACCCCAGATCGAGTCATGTCTTATGCCTGAAGTCTGGCACAGAATCCAGCATGGCAGAATCTTCATAAATATCTACTGAGCAAATGAGTGAATGAATGGATGTAATGTGGGAATGCTGTGAAGACTGGTGGATCTCAGCCTGTCTCAGCTTGGTTCTTGGTTCTGAGAGAACCAAGAAATGCCAAGCTGCAGTGGTCAATCTAAGTAGAAATACTCCATACATATTCTGAATAATAGGACTGGAACACAAGCCTAAAATTAGGCATACAAATTCAGGAATCTCTAAACTAGAATGAATAGCTAGGACTAAAATAGACTAAATGTGCCAAGACAGTAAGTACAAGGAAAAAGGAAAAACTCAGTCATTTTTAATCTATTATAATCTATTCCATCTAAAAGAAATTTTACTATCCCTCTAAGAAGAAAAGTATAGTTTGTAAAAATAAAAAAAAAGCTTAGGTATTTAATATTAATAATCCATATGTTATGCAAAATGCCAACAGCTAATCAAGCCTATTGGTACTTTTAAGGTCCAGAATAACTAAAATAAGAAATCCTAGGAAGTGTTCCATATTTTGGCATGAAAAAACACAAGGTTAATTATAGAGAATATTCACCTAAATCAGCATATGAAGAATAAAAACACTCAGATTTTCTAAAGATTTATTCTGTGCCCCAAATTTACAAACATGATGCTGGGATTATCTAAGATATTCTCCTTAGCATCTTTAAAAGTCAGTGTTTTTTACCTTTTTATTACTGAGCCAAA